CTCTCTCTCTCTCTCTCTCTCTCTCTCTCTTATACAACGACTTTCAAAACACTTGTTTTTGTCACTTTTGTTATTGCCTCTCCACCTCTGGCTCCTGCAGATTAAAGGTCCTCACTAGGTAACTCACTTGCTTTCCTGTTCCTCCGTAATCATATCCGTCGTTTTGATTAAGTTCCAGAGATTTTAGCAATACTGTCACTGTGATGTCGTTATATAATAATGTGTGTTCAGCTCACTCTCTGCTGCTGTTGATGTTGTGAATTGTACACCGACGTGAGTCATTGAAATTTTATGTGTGTGTCCTTGTGGTAACGCTAACCCTGCTGTTTCTTTGGTAGATTTCATGTGTGCAAAGAAAATCTTTCTCTTTCTTCTTATTTTCATTTTTTCCCCCCTCATCTCTTTTTTTGTTCAGTTTTATTGATTTCTCCTGCCTTTTTGTTCTGACCTGTAACTGTTGATTTCTCTCCCCTGTCAGCTCTCCCCTGGACTCTAACATACCTAATCAGTTTCACGGCTACAAACTGGGCCAGGCTGCAGGGACTCAAGGCCGTACACTAGACACTTTAGCCTGCGTGGCCAGCCATAATGACAAGCAGGTGACTATACCACACCGCAACATCACCCTGCACCCTGCACTATCTGCTTTCTTCTCCTCCCCGTTCCCACTTTTATTATAAAATGTTATACTGCATAAAATGCATGAAACAGCATTCATTGTGTACTGTATTATATTATTGTGTATATTCAGATCCATCAGTATTTTGTTTTATTCTTTGGTTTGCGCTCCTACTTTTATTATTTCATTTTTTACAATATTTGTATGAAATCAGTCATGAAAAGACTTTTCAACAAACTTTTCCTTTAAACTTTGTTTTGGAAAGGTTAGAAATATTAACTTCAGAGAAATCATTAATCCGTTTACCCAATAGTGATGTAATGTATCTTGATAAACAAAATGTATTTTTTCAGAGTTTCAAGTTTCACAGAAATAGCTGCTTTGTGAAAAAGAAATTGGTTCCTATCAATTCATAATGATACAGTGTTATTATACGTGGATATATCATGTGTGTAGGAAAAATGTATCTAGTTTGCAATGTGCTTACCACTTGACCGTTTGTGTTTATGTTTTCTTTTAGTTTGTTAGTTTCTTTTTCAATAGGTTTCTTTTGGGTAGTCTGTGATTGTGGTCTGTAAACTTATTTTTGACTTCATAATCATGAAACGTTTTTTTTTTACAGGACCTTAATAGAAATTCAGTTGTCCAGTAACTTGCATAAAGTTAATAAATTGTCCACCTTGTGTTCATGCATGAGAACCAATGATGTTTTGCGTTCTTTGTACAAAATACCATTTGTTTCGGTCCCATGATATTTTGATATCATTTGGTGTATGCATGCACATTTCTTTTATTTCTACCTCTTCAGGGCAGGAGGTATTGTATTGTGTGCTAAATTTGTTTGCACTATTTTCCCCTTTTCTCTCCTTCTTTTTGTCTCTTTCCTTCTTCCAGTCAGCTAGATTTCTTTTTCAGTTATTATTCAAATTCTTTTTATACATATCCACTCCTTGCATTTAACGGTATTCTTTAGAGCGTTTATATTTCATTATGATTGTTCTATTTTGCAAAAACCCATTGCACAATATTTATTTTCTTCTTGAATTGTGCCCCCAAAGTCATTTTTTTCCTTTTTTAGTTTATGTTCATGATTATGATGCCTTTTTATTGTCCTGTTCGGTTATTATACTTTCTGAGATCCACGAGCGTTGAGGGGTAAGGGGGGGGGGGTCTTTTTATGGTTCAAATTTATGTTTACTTGGATTTACTTGGATCCAGAGCTAGAATCATAGCAGGCAGCACATGTCCATAGCTGCTCATCTCTCCTTTCCAGCGTCCACCTCAGGGTCTTCCTGCTAATTGTCTCCATGAGGAGCTGGTTTGAGACACGCCTGACCACTCCTCGAAGCAAACTTTTTTTCACTGTGCCCTGCACACACTTTTATTTTACTTTTATTGTGCTGGGTGTGTGGGAGTCTGTCTCCTCTTGGTTGTGAAGGCTCTCCTTGCATCTGGCGATCACCATTG